CCACCCCCACCTGTGCCACCCCACCTCTGCCACCCCCAGCTCTGCCACCCCAGCTCTGCCACCCCCAGCTCTGCCACCCCAGGTGCTCCTGCCCAGCCCCGCAGCTCCCGTGTCCCCAGGCAGTGTCCCTGCCCCACAGGGGTCCCACAGGCAGGGTTGGGAACATCCCATCTGCACAGTCACACACCCCTGGCCGGGCTCTCGCCCCCCCCCTGCCCCATGTTTGGTGTCTGGGCTTGGAAACTCAGCATGGAATCACGGAATCATGGGATGGTTTGGGTTGGAAGGGACCTTAAGGATCATCTAGATCCAACCCCCCTGCATGGGCAGGGACACCTCCCACCAGCCCAGGCTGCTCCAAGCCCCATCCAACCTGCCCTTCAACACTGCCAGGGATGGGGCAGCCACAGCTTCCCTGGGCAACCTGGGCCAGGCTCTCACCACCCTCACACCAAAGAATTCCCTCCTCATGTCTCACCTCAGTCTCCCAGTTTCAACCCATTCCCCCTCAGCCCAAAGTTCCAGCGTTTGCTCTCCCACCACCACAGGGTGCAGCTTTGGCTCCTCTCTCACCTGCCCAGCTCTGGCACTTCCCTGCTCTGCTCTTTCTGCCCAAGCTGAGCTGCAGCTTTTGCTCCTCAGCTTTGCAGGAGGTGGATCCTCTCCCTCCAGCAGCTCCTGCTCCTGCTGGCAGGGCCTGTGTGGAGCTGGGGCAGGTTCTGACCCGGGCCAGGACTCTTCACATGGAGGAAACAGCGCCGAGGAAGCGTCCCCAGGGCTGCCCTGGTGGGGAGATGCTCTGACCTCCCCAGCAGCCTGAGCTGGTGGTTGTTTCTCCTCCCTCACCCTTGTTTTTCCCCAGGTGCAGCGACTGCAGAACCGTCTTCCACCGGGCCTGCCACACCAGCTCCCAGTCCTGCCCCCGCTGCCACCGCCGACGGCACTACCGCCGACCTTCTGACCCACCCAGGGACCCTCTGCCCACCCAGGGACCCTCTGATCCCCCCAGGGACCCTCTGATCCCCCCAGGGACCCTCTCACCCACCCAGGGACCCTCTGACCCACCCAGGGCAGAGCAGGGGGGGCTGCAGGGCTCTCTGTGTGTGTCCCCAACACTCACCGGTGCTGCTGGGGGACGCTCTGAGCTGCCCTCCTGGTGCCAAAACCTTCTCCTTACCCTCCCGGTGGGAAACCCAGTGACTTGCCAGGGTGTCAGTCGGGATTTCCAGCTCCGGGGTGGGGAAAACTGACATGGATGAAAGATCTAGTTTTTTTAGGGTGTTCGATATTGGGAAAAAAAACCCACACAAAAACACAACAACAAAAAAAAACACATTAAAAAAAAAAAAACCACAAAAAAAACACCAACAGAAGAAAAACCAAAGGGTATTTTTTTTACCTGGGGATTTTGCACAAGCTGGCCTGCACCGGGGGGTGCCAGCAGCCACCTGGGGAGGGGACGAGGTGACACTTCTTGTGCCTTTAGGGCCCACGGGCGCCAGAGCCGGGCGAGCATCTCCCACCCGGAGCCCACCCAGAGCCCACCCAGAGCCCACCCATCCCCGTGGCCTCCGGGCAGAGCAGGGAGGGCCCGGCCAGGCTGCTCCTCCCCACCTGCTGCTTTTAACCTCGGGAAGAAATTTTATTCTCCTCTCCCCTCCTCCCCAAGCAAAACGGATTAAAAGTTTATTTAAAGAACGAGTGAAACCGTCGCCGGGGTTTGATTCTCCCACGTCCCACCTGATGCTGCCCCCGTGGGAGGCGGGTTGGGGGGCAGGATTGCTGCCTGTCCTCTGGCCTCCCCGCC